GTAAAGCCACTACCTGTTCGTAACATCAAATTAATTCATGATGCAATTATTGTAGGCCCAAGTGTGTCAGTGTATTCTACAATAGTTTTTGCTTGATGTTCTGTCTGGCAATTAGTGGTGAATTGTTGGTGAGGTTTCTAATCTGCTAACATCCAGATAAGGGCAGGCAGCCAGCACTACATTCAGTGGAGTTTTCCATCTTACTGAGCCCTGCAGTATTATTAGGAACAGTGCTATTTCAGCTGTGAAAAAAAAAGTGGGAACAAAGTTTTATAATACAGATTTCAATGGCTTGCTCATCTGGTAGAAATGAGTTAAATAAATTGGCTTACTTTTCCTGTGTCCGAGGCTTAAAAGAAAAGAGAAAATAAAAAAGCACAAGCTGACATTCTTTCTTGACCTGGTTATCTTTTCAAGCCTTCAATTTATACAGTTTCAAGTGAGAGACATCCCTGAGCCTGTTTCCTGAGTATCAGATCAGGAATGAGGATTTTAGTGCGCCGTCTCTGAGGGGCAATTCCACCACACTAGGCAATAACTGAGAGTGCATGGGAAGAGCTAATGAACATGAAAGACAAAACAAAGGTCCACATTTCCCTTGAATTACAAAGCTCAGCTCAATAAAGGTTCCTCTGTGTCCTGGGAAACCAGAATTCAGTACAGCTAGTAGATTTACAACTACATCTAACTTCACCTTTTTTTTTTTTATAGCACCTCTCATCTCTCTGTCTCAAAACTCAGTAAAAGTCAATTGGTATCACAGGCTCCTTCACATAAGTAAGGCTGTCTGCAAAGACTGACTTCATGGCAGAGCAGCAGCTGCCATCCAAGCTGCCTGACCTCCAACTAGTTCAGAAACAGACTGACAGGCAATGCTGGCTCATACGAGACCCAGTTACGTATGGTTTATGTGGAGGGAAGAGACTGAAAAATATTCAGTCATTGTCATAGATGGGCTGCGCATCTTATTTCTTACGGCCCTAACATCTTATTTCCCCTGGCTCTACCCCTTCTTGCTCACAGAGAACAGTGTACAGCTTTGTTATTGCAACATGCGAGCACAGGAGGTTTCATTAGACTGAGAAAGTCACACTCAGTGGGAGCACCACTTATTTACCTCTGAGTGTGTTTTAGCATCCCCTTGGCTGTTAAGTAGCAATAAAATGTGATGGATATGCTACTTCTCCATGGCAAGCAAGAAGATGTGTTGAGTAAAAGGAAAGTGAGGAGGACAATGAAACAGAGAAAACAGGTACTCTTTCAGCTGCATTTCTAGTGCTTCAAAAGGAACAGATTTCTGTTGCTTCCACTTGTCTACCAACACTGATAGTTGTTGGCTTTTTTTTTCTTCCCAAAATGACTGAATACTGTTGGTTTGAATGGTCTTTGTTTTGTGGGAGAACTTACAAGCTGGAACCATCAACCCGCAGCTGACATTTTCATACACTTCTCCCACCTGTCTAATTGTAGAATCACAGAATCATAGAATGGTTTATGTTGGAAGGAACCTTAAAGGCCATCCATTTCCAACCCAACATGGGCAGTGCCACGCAGCAGCTCAGGCTGCACACAGCACCATCTAACCTGGTATAGTTGGCTTTTGGTCTCTTGCACACTGATTGCCTCCAGGGATGGGGCACCCACAGCTTCTCTGGGCAGCTGTGCCAGGGCCTCACCACCCTCATAATGAGGAATTTCTTCCTAACATCTAACCTAAATCTCCCCTCTTTTAATTTAAAGCCATTGCCCTTTGTCCTATAACTATCAGACCATATAAAAAATCATTCCCTCTCCTGCTTGGAAGCTCCCTTTAAGTACTGGAAGGCCACAGTGTGGTTTCCCACAGCCTTCTCTTCTCCAGGCTGAACAAGCCCAACTCCCTCAACCTTTCTTCATAGAAGAGGTGCTCCAGCCCTCTGATCATCTTCATGGCCCTCCCATGGACCTGCTGGCCTCATGCGGTCAGAGCAGAGGACAATCCCCTCCCTCTCCCTGCTGCCTCCCTTCTGTTGAGGCAGCCCAGGATACAGTTGGCCTTCTGGGCTGTAAGTGCACACTGCTGGCTCATGTCTAGCTTTTTGTGTTTCAGGAACCCCAAGTCTTTTTCCACAGGGCTGAAACACCGGAGAGGTCTTTGTACCTCCTAATGCAGTGAACTGTTCTCAATTAGCCAGTCAGTGGTGTTTCACGTTCAGGGAGGTTTATTTTTTATTTTAACCAGTACTATTTTTTTTTTTATTATTTTTTTTTTTACATATTCATCTTAGCTATCAGAGGGCTTATGCATTCATTTTTGCCCACTCTCTCCAAGAAAGGATCATCAATTAGAACTGAACTCTAACACCCATTATGCAAAATATCTGAAAACACACTAATAAGTCAGTCAAGAGGAAAATACCCACAGCCTGGATTTAAAAGCTTCAGAGCATTTTAGACACCTAAATGAGCAATCTTAGAGCTTATGTAAATGTTAATCAGACACAGAACTAACAGACTACGCTCTGTATTTAAAGCATTTTATAGCTAATTCTTGCATTCTTAGATAGCTGCAACCTACACATTCCATTATTAGACCTGAGCTAAGATTCAGGGTTGAAACAAACAGTCAAAGAAAGATGAAAGGGACACTCTGCATGTGAAGTTCTGGGGGAAAAAATAAAAGTGTTAATAATGTTCTTATTCTACAGAAATCAGGCAATCACAAGTTCTTGCTTCTATGCTGCTAACAAGAGAGGGACAACTGCAGATGTTCAAAACAGGCCAGGCTTCAGTTTTTCTGAGGATAAAAGCAGGGAGGGGAATTCAGTTTGTCCTCTCTGATTACATCCTGGTTTATAGCCAACCTATATACCTGCCAAGTCTAACGTAGCCATGGTTTTCTCTGGGAATCTGTAGCAGATAGTTACTGAGAAGTAACTCGGGACATGCTTTTAGTTACTGAGAAATAACTTCTCCAAAGTAAAGCATGCCCAAAGGCACACAGTACTCAGGGAAATGGCTTAACACAGCATCTGCTCTGACACGCATTTTTCCAGACTACTTTCTACTACTGTGCCTCTGACAGGAATGATTTATTATCTCATCTCTGACTTTGAAGCGAAACACCTGCACTGTTGATAGCATTGGTCCCCCATGCATGCCTGATGTGCAAGCACAGAAGTGTTCCCTTGCACAAACAGTCCCTTCCACATCATCCAAGTCCCACACTATTCTAAAGCTTCAAAAGACAATCCTTACTGTTACAAAGAGAACCAGCCTAGGCAGACAATCCACTCCTTCTCTGCACTCTGCAGAAGTTGGACAGCAGAAAATGACTTACCTGCCTCATCTGCTCAAATGTGCAGCCACCTCCCTGACCTTCTTATACACTCAAGCAGCAAGTGACACATAAATGACTAAAGAAGATCTATACGTAACACTGACAGAAGATAATACAGGCACTTTCCTAGTTCAGCACAATCATAATTCAGCTTCCTCTACCATATTCATGCAGCTTTATCCTGCTGTAGATTTCTAGTGAGGCTGATTTACAGCTGGGAAAGCAGAACTTGCTGCTTCCACTTGTGTGATAAAATCTGATTCAAGTGATGTACTCACACAGCTCCCCAGCAATTCATTTCCCCAGTGCTTAAAACTACACAAATACATGCTTTCATGTTCAAACTGTTGTATTTGCTTCACTCTGCTTCTCTCCAGATGAACTGCATCTTTGCAAAATGCTGATTTTTTGTCTGAAAGACAACAAGGGGGATACATTTCTCATGTTGAAGTTCTACTTCTACAGCCAGGGGAAATTTGATGGCAAAGTAAAACTCATTTTGAATTCTGGCCACAAGAAACAGAATGCTACTACAAGATTGAAGAAACAGAAACTGTGCCTTTATACTTGAATTTTTAATTGTCACTTTAATGCAGTCAGAATTGCAGAAAAACAATGTGTGTGCAATATCAGCTAAGCACAAGATAATTCTACCCTAAAATGTTCAGAAGTAAATAGGAGTTAAGGAAGCTATGCAAAACAAAGCTAAGAATTAAACCAAACAAGGGTTCCCAGGCTCTGAATGCTTAGCTCTGTCGATGCCCCATCTTTACAGCCTAAGGTTCCCCTCTTCCTCATCCCAGATATTGATAATCAGGAGGAAAACAGAGAAACAAAACACCACAGCTCCTTTTTAATGGCCACTTCTGAGTATGTTAAAAACAGTCCCTTTGTATAGCCACATACTTGTGTGAAGGGAAAAGAGAGCAACAGGAGAGCAGCATGCAACACACCTCTCCTTGCAAGAGGTGCAGCCTTCAACCCTTCGTACATCAGTGGCAGCACACAGCTCTTCTCACTGTTGGCTTCCTGTGTGTTCACATCTTTTCCATGGCTCTTATGGGGGAACCTTTCCCTTTGCTCACCGTCTTCTCTGCTTGTCCTCACCTCTTTCTTCCTTGTCTCCCCTAATTTAACCCTCTTGTGCCCCCACCATTCATCAGATATGCCCCTTATATCTGGGGTGTGAAGGACTACCCAGAACTTCTCAATCACTTGACTAGGAGTTGTGTCTGTTTGAGAATGCCCAAGGCACTATAGAAGGTACAGCCTTCCTATATAATGTGCCTCCACCACATGCAGTAGGACTGCTCAGGCCTACTGAAACATACAAATGTGCTCTAAACAAGCCACAGGAGCTTGGATTACAGGATTACACAGACTATCATTAGCAGCACTGCTTGGAACAAAGCTTCCTATCACATTTCAGAAGCAATTTAATTAAATCTTATCTGCATTTGTTCACTGCTGCTACAATAAATAAAGGTACTGATATGACAAAAGCTGAAAAATGGAGAAATTCAAATAGGACACTCCACACAAGCTGCAATATTTCTTCTTTTACCTTCATACTTCTTCCCTGGCATAGCAATAATACGATCCCTCTTTGAGCAGAAAGAGCCCAGCTGTAAACACTTCAAGCATAAGTATCATTGTTGAGAATTAGGCCCCCAATACTCACCCAAGGTATTTGTTGCAAAGTTTTTTTCAAGTCCATTTTCAGTTAACTCTCTGTTGTTCACCATACACCCTGCATTGTTAATCTGTAAAACAATTCCTGTAAACGAAAACAATCCAGGCAAATGTCTACAAACAAAAGCAAACATACAGGCAAATCGTGATAGTTTGACTTTTTTTGGCATAATGCTAAAAACTGTTTCTATAAATCACACTATTCCAATTCAATTTACTGCTACAAATATTTTTTACAGAAGAAAGGATCTTCAGAGAAATGGATTGGTACTAAAAGCCAACCATCTTAGTGCCTTACTCCATGTTTTAAAATCTCATCTTACAGAAGTAATATGCAGGTTGCAGAGCACAGATTTTAGGACAAATAAGCAGTGTAGTACGTTAATCTCATCTGAGAGATCCCATTGATGCTACATGATGATGTACTCTCCATTGGACATTCCTCTACTAGGGAAAATTCACTTTCTGTAGCACCTCTCATGTAGAGCCAAGCTGAGAGATTTGGGGCTTTTCAGCCTCGAGACGAGAAGGCTTCAAGGAGAACAAGAAGTAAAGGCTTTAAACTAAAAGAGGGGAAATTTAGGTTAGATATTAGGAAAAAAGTCTTCACTGTGAGGGTGGTAAGGAACTGAAACAGGCTTCCCAAAGAAGCTGTGGATGCCCCTTTCATGGAAGTGAGGCCAGGCTGGATGGAGCCCTGGACAGCCTCTTCTAGTGGAAGGTGTCCTGCCAATGGCAGGGTGGGTTGGACGACATGGGGGAGGCATCGTTCTCTGCCATATTTTTGTTTAGAGAAATATGCATAGCCTGCATAAGCAACCTGAAGGCCACAAAGTTATCAGTAATAAAAGCCAGATAGAAAATCTGCAGTGAGAACTTCAAAAGATGCAACTAAAAAATTACTGCACTTCTTGCTTTTTTGTATTATATCTGTGTATGAACTGAGAATGGACAAAAGCAAATGGACCATGGAAACTTCTGTAGCAGTACTCAGAGAACATTAAGGAGAGAACTGCAAAATCTGGACTATCTGTTGGCTAAGTTCAGAGGACAGGCACTCTAAAGATAGACACATGATTTAAGTATGCAAACTTACCAACACATTCAATTTATGTTCAGTTTTGAACTTTTCAGCAAACTTCCAGATTTCTTTGGGGTTAGAAATATCCACAATATGCAAGAATATATTCTAAATGAAGAAAAGTAAGTTACAATCAACATGGATAGTGAATAGGTCCTGCTCACTGTTAAGGCCTGACTAGTTGAAAAGCTATAGTAGTCATATGAAAAAATATTATCTCCAGAACATATCTGAAACACTTATGGCTAAGAAGCAAAATTGGGACATTAAAATATTTTCCTAGGAACATCTTTTGTCATTTGCTCCTGAGCCATGACCTTCTAACGTTTAATGCATGCTTGAAGGGACCCCAGCTTTCATCTCTGTCTGGCAATCTGGCACAGAAAGTCTATCTGTTTCATACACAGCAAGGTAAAACCCAGTCAACAGTCAGGTTTGCAATTTATGTGCCACAGTAACAAGGCTGTAGACCTCAGCCTTCTCTTCTTAACACTGAGTGAAACCAACCCTTTCAACCTCTTCTCCACACACATCTTAGTTCCTTTGTAACTTTGGCAGTCTGGCCTTGCTCTAAGACAAAAAGATTTCCTTGTTCCAGGAGGCTCAAACTGGATGTAGGTGTCCTGCTGTGGTCTCACAAGGGCTCAGCACTTCTCTCAACCTGCTGGCTACACTTGGTCATTCAGCCCAGGGTGCATTTGGTCTTCCTTGCCTCAGGGCACACTGCTTGCTCAGGGTCATGGCATCAACCCCAAGCCCTTTTCTGTAGACCTGTTCTCCAGTCAGTCCCAGGCCATCTATTCTGTGGGATTACTGCAACCCTGGGCAGGACTGCTCTTGATGAACTTGATGAGGTTCATTTCTGTCCATTTTCCCACCTGTTAAGCTTCTCTGAATAGCACCTTTACTCTCCAGCTCTCCACAAATTGAAGCTATCTGCAATCTGACAAAGATTATACTTGATCTATTTGTCCAGACTGTCAGTAGAGGCATTAAACTTGCCCCAGTATTGAGCTATGAGGCGTGCAACTAATAACTGCTCATCAGATCAGCTCTGTATTGTTGACTGCTACTTTCTGAGCATAATAGCCCAAGCAGTTTTCTATCTGTCTTACTGTTCACCGGATCAAACCACATTAGCAAGTGACAAATCTCTCAAGACATCAAGTCAAGACAGCAGGCGGATGCCTCCATCCCCAACAGGAGAGAGCCTCCAGCCATTTTCACCTACCCTTCCTCCTGGTGCCAGCAATGGTTCAGGCTCAGCTGGCTTCAAATCCTCCCCTGACAAGAGTTTTTTCTTCCCCATCTGTTACCATGGCACTATACCTATGCTGTAAATGAACACCTGCAGGCTGAGAACAATCCTGCCTTCTACTGGTGTTCACAAATGCCCAGTCTTCCCCATCTTAGGAATCTCCATCCATTTACTTGAAGATAGGCCCTAGCTTTCCATCCTTCCAGGTGAGTGGGGTTTGTGCTCTTCTGCTCTTTGCAAAGACCCTGTCCACCTCCTGTTTCCTCCCCCTAAGGCTATGCAGCTTGCTCCATGTCCAGCAGATGCTTCATCTGGCAGCCCAGCACCTTGGCCACAGCAGAGCCCAAATGATGAGGACCCCATTGTGCTCTGCCCCAGGCTCAGGAAGAAGAGCCAGTCACTCCCTGCAGCACAGCACCATCATTCCTCTGGAGCAGGGCAGAAGAGCACACCTTTAAGTACATCGCTGTGCCCATGCCACTATTTTTAAGCAGTGTTGTGTGCCTTCTGCAACCTCTTTCCACACTAAGTGCTGCATGAATCGCCATGTCCCTTTCAGTCAACCCTTGCTTTGAAATGCTATGGGCAGGGATGCGAACACAGTAAAATAAAAGAGGAAAAGCTTGACATGAGAGCAAAGTTATAATCTTCCAACCCACTAAATCTAAAACATTTCCTCTCTCCAAAACATCTAAAGCCTTTTAGTCCTTGTTAAAGGCAATTCTCTGCTTTTGTAAATGTCTGCTCTAGCTAGTATAAGCAGAGTAGCATTTATCAGCATACAGAAGGCACTGCAAATCCTACTCTTCTCCTGCACAGTGCTTAGTCTTGAAGACATACCACAGACAGTCCTATGATGTACGCAAGGAAAGGAACTTCCAAGATAGTTATGCAGAGGATGTGTTCCCATGCAAAGAAACAAATAATCATTGCAAGATCTCCTCTCTTTTCAAACTGTTCCTTTACTACTCGTTACACAAGCAAAAGAGATAAACAAAGAAGCTGGGAAAATTATAAGGCATCATTCCCAATTTATAATTCTGCTTCCTTGAAGATAAAAACACTTGTCTTCTCTTTAGCCACTGGATTTCAGCTTCTCATTTGAAGTAGCTCAGAATTTTCTCATCATAATGCTCATTTCTAAACAAAAAACTTGACACTTCTGTAGGTTCTAAGCAGATACCTCTCTAAGAGCCTTCTACTTTTAGAGCTACTACAATTAACTACTGCAACAGAAGAGCAGGAGATTTGGGGGCAGATGTTCAATATTACAAGTGATTTCAGAGACTGAAAAAGAATCTGTTGAAGACTGTCACACTGGCTCAGAAAAGGAACTTACAGATCTGTTCCCTATAAAAGTCCTTCATGGTAGCAAAGTCATTCTCAAGGTGAGATCTAATCTCCATGAGTAGATCTAATCAGAAAATCAGGAGACCTTCCTAGTTCCCAGTTCAAGGTGCAAGTGCCTGCCAAATAATAACTCATCTCAGCATTGAACCCCAGCATGTTTTGCTGTGGTAACTGGAAACAAATCTCTGGCACGTATTACAACAGGATTTCTGTCCAGATAATCAGGAAGAGCAAGTTAGGTCTGCTTGTAACTTGTCAAGTTGCAGATAAAGTATTTTATTATCCCTCTGGATTGCTTCTGAATGGCTACTTAGAAAGAAGGATGTTCTTGTGGACTTCTTATAAAAATGACTCTTTCCAGTGCAGGGCCACTTGTACAGCTCATCTAACACTTTAACAAATGCTCCTTTCCATACAAGTGCCCAGGACCCCTGGTCACACAGAAGTTCTACTGTGCACTCATGTTCTTTAATGACTAGAGAAACTACAGGTTTGCAGTCTACCAAAACTCAGTATGCAGTAGATGTGCTGCATTTAAAGGAAGAATACTATGTGCCTTGAGTTTTGTTTCACAAATGATAGAACACAGAACATGAAGGAACCCTCAGAGGTCATGAAACTCACCCCTCTGCCCAGGCTGTCTGACTGCAGCTACAGAAGAAAGTAACACTTCTAATCACCAGTCCTTTCACAACTGTATCTTACTATAGTCAGGGGATCATGCTTCTCTAGACAGTTGGAGAGCATTTCTACAAGGACTGATCTAATTCACCTCCATTAAAGAGCAGAAGTGCCACGCTTGGGAGCTGAAACTAAAGAGCACAAATTATTCAGTAATGTATCTCTAACCATAAGAAGTCTTCACAATGTTTGACACGCATTAAATACTACTACTGGAATCAAAATACTGTGTTTAAGAGCCAAGGCCCTGCTTAAAACGAAGACAGATCTTCATCCAATGTACAAAGATACTGGCTCCACTTCTCCACAAGCACACCCTCTAGAATAATTACCAAAGCAACACTGACAGCTACGGAGGTGTACTGTAGATTGATATATGCAGAAGCAAAAAGAATCTCTAACAGAAAGCAGGAGATAAGGAAAATATACTGTAAGAAAAAGAGATTGGAAAGTCTATAAGAATAAAATGAGGACAACATACGTGAAGCAGGAAAGACATCCTTTGCAAATCAAGAACATGTTATTCAGGTTCAGAAAACCTCCAACTCCACAAATGTTGTCACAAGAGTGTTGCAATGAATTAACTTTTAAAATCCTCAGCAATGTAGTAAGGAAAAGTAGGTTGGACATCACAAAACATAACAACAAACTTACCTGATTGCCAGTTTCTGTCACTATTTCTCCTTTGGCGTCCTCAGCTCGTTCCTTATTGCGGCAAACCAGGTGAACCGTGCCACCTCGTGGATTTTAACAAGAAACATATTTGACAATTAATTACTAAATATGTCAGGGGGACATCAGCAAAGAGATAGAGCCAGAAAGTAGCTTCCAATTTGCAGTTCTTCTTTGGGGTTAGTTTTTGATACAAATTAGAAGGAATGAGAAACCTCCTGTGACTGCTTCCCATCTGTGAGAAATCTGTAGCGTGCCAGTAGCAGTGGCCACCCTGGAATACTGTGGGGATTTCCCAGCAGACAGAGCTGTGTACATTCCACAGTCCCATTGCTCTGCTGTCAAGAGCTGAGCAGTGGCTTTTCATAGCTGTGGTCCGTGGAGGACCCAGGGCTCCCACAACATTGATGAAGAGCTGGGAAAAAGGTGCAAGTCAAAGCCACAGCACTTCACGGTCCCACGTTCAGCAGCTTTAGTCCCATCTAGGGACCAGTGCTCCCAGAAGACCCAGAGTAATGGGCCCATGGGAGCTGGTGCTCAGCAGTACAGAGTGGGGCCCAGCCAGCACCCGGGCATGCAGCACATGCCCTCACCGGCTCTGACCTTGAATGTTATGGACACTGATCTCATAGACAAGGAGGTTTTGATGTCCCTCATCCTGGAACTGGGGTTGGACCGGATTCAGGAGCTGCCAGAGCTGTTCGTGGGACAGAACAAGTTTGACTTCATTTCAGACTTTGTTAGCAAACAGCAACCCATTGCCATCAGCTGTTGAGGGGCTTTGAGCTCCTCCTTGTGTCTTAGTGGTTTTGAGTTTGTTTCTAACTTCCTTCTCCACCCACCATTCTCCTCCCTTCCCCTGCCTTCCCTGTCCTGGATTCCTAGCCTCCCTAAAGAGACAATCATTGGACACTGGCTTGCAATAGATTGCTGTGCTACCTAGTAAACCAGACACCAAGAATTTAGGCACGGTCTCTCAAAGGACAACAGTCTATTAAGAATGTTTCAACAGAAAGCTCAGGACACAATAAGCAGATGTACAGCAAAACATGCTAGGGTCCCCAGGCAAGGAACCACGGGCACAAACTGCAGCCTGGAAGGTTCAGGACAGGCATTAAGAAAGAACTTGTCATGAGGAGATAGATCAGCCCAGCCCTGCCCTGAGAGGTGGTAGAATTTCAATAGAATGGAAATTAGGGGCTTTCAAGATCAAGCTAGGCAAAGCAGTGACCAAATTGGTTTAGTGATGGCAAAAGTCCCGCTTCAAATGGGATGCTGGACAAAATGACCTTTAGGTACCTTCCAACCACTTTTTCTACAGAACAAATACTCAGGACAAGGGTCTTCTCCAAGGACTGGATATGTATCATGCCCTAATAGCACAGCGACAGTAAAGAGAACCTTCAAAATCAGCACTGAAATATAAGCAGACATCACTGTTATTCTTATGGTTTGCATTCCTTAATCATTACAAGAAATTTGTTAATCTCAGTTACAAGAACATATTGTATTGTACTCCTTAGTTCAGTTTACTGTTAAATGTGTTTTAGGGGTTCCTAGCAGTCCAATGCTAGAAGGCTTAAGAAATGTAATCCCAAAGGAATTCTGATGAAAGCAATTAGAACCCAAATGCAAGACATCAGAACTATTCCAGGGATGGAGTAGTCACATACCCATGGGCTGCACAGCCTACTTAGGGCTCTGAATGTGCAATTGTGTCTGAGAGTTTTTCCACTGACTACAATAAGAGCAAGCATACTGGGCTGAAGCAGGCAACAAGCCTTGAGATTTTTTGTGCTATGTATGCACTGTGCATGGGAGGGACCCTGCATAATCAGGCACTAAGCATATACAGATCAGAATGAAAGACAATTTTTGCCTCAGTGAGACTAGATTTCATGAGTGAAAGGACAGACAAGTATCAGAACATGCAGTTTCCAATGCTCATCTGTCAAGCCATTCTTTCAGTGACTGTAGGCTTCGCTGCACAAAGGAGGGCTTTAATGAGAGATCTTAAGGCAGTTGAGGATGTGCAGATGTTTTAAGAGCTCTTCCCAAAGCACAAGAGACTGCACAAGCACTGTACTTGTATGAAAAAAAAATACACAGAGGAGGTAGCTGCCCTTCAGCTGATTGGAAACATGCTATGGTCCCAAAGGTGGATTTGAAGGGCTCTGAATATGAATGTTTTCTTGCTGCCAAGAAGAGAGTTGTTTTGGTGCAAACCATGGGCTAGGAAAGGCCCATCATAAGATCACCTCGAGTACTGTGTCCAGTTTTGGGCCCCTCACTGCAAGAAAGATATTGAGGCCCTGGAACGTGTTCAAAGAAGGGCAACAAAGCTGGTGAGGGGTCTGGAACACAGGCCATATGAGGAGAGGCTGAAGGAGCTGGGAATGTTCAGCCTGGAGAAGAGGAGGCTCAGGGGAGACCATATTGCTCTCTATAACTTCCTGAAGGGAGGTTGTAGTGAGCTGGGGGTCGGCCTCTTCTCTCGTGTCATTAGTGATAGGACCAGGGGGAATGGTTTCAAGCTCAAGGCAGGGGAGATTCAGGCTGGACATGAGGAAGTATTACTTTTCAGAAAGGGTGGTCAGGCACTGGAATGGATGCCCAGGGAGGTGGTGGAATCACCAACCCTGGGGGTGTTCAAGGAAAGACTGGATGTTGTGTTGAGGGACATGGTTTAGTGGGAGCTATTGGGAATAGGTGAACGGTTGGACTGGGTGATCTTTTAGGTCTTTTCCAACCTTAGTGATTCTATGATTCTATGATTCTATAAGACATATTTAAATATGTCTTTCATGGTAAAGACCTAGAATTATCTGAATTTAAACAACACATGGGACTGAGAAAAACCTGCATCAGACCTGAACTGCAGCTCACAAGATATATAGGAAAGCCCACATCTGCAGTACGCATAGTACTGGCTGTGGCTGGCATGGTATTAATTTTTTTCATAGTGCTCATATGATGCTGTGCTTTAGATTTGTGAGTAAAACAATGCTAGTAACACACTATTTTTTATCCTTTGCTGAACAGCACTTGCACAGTGCCAAGGCCTTGTCTCTCACTTTAGCCTTTCAGTGAATAGATCTGAGGGTGCGCAAGAGGTTGGGTGGGGACACAGCTGGGACAGCTGACCACAGCTGAACAAAGAGATATTCCATGCACATATCATCATGCTCAGTAATAAAGAGGAAGAGCGGGGGCTTTAGGAGCTAGCCATCTCTTGCTCAGGAGCTGGCTGGGCATCAGTCTACTCATGGGAGTTAGTGAGCGATTGCTTTTGCATCACTTGTTTCATTTTCTTTGTCTCTTATTTAACTTCTCCATCGTGCACTAAACTTTTTTTTATTGTATCTGGACTCACAAGTTTTCACACTTTTATTCTTCTTTTCCCCTTCCCTCTACTGCTGCAACTCTACTGCTGGTAACTCTACTGCTGGTGGAACGGGAAAGTGTACAAACTGTGCAGCACTTTGCTGCCTGCCAAGGTTAGCCCACTACACCAACGTGACACTGATTCAGAAAAGAGCTGAACTTAGGCTACAGAAGATGTAATCAAGACTGCCATAACTTACAAGGATATGATGTGCACGCAGATGAAGCCAATGTAGCTGGTTATTTGTTTGCTGAGTATAATTCCTTGCTTTCTTGTTGCAACGCACTTCAAGAGATTCGACTAGAAGTGAGTCCCAGTAGCTGACATGGAGTTTCAGAGCAACACATGCAAGAATGGGATCAGGAATTTCTTCTTTACTTAAATGATTAAGTCAATTTAACTTCATATGCACAACCATGCCCTAGAAAAGTATCAGGCAAGAAGTCTGAGTCTAAAGTTATTCTTTGAGCTCAAATTTAGATGTAATGACCAAATCCTATGCGCCAGTTCAGTCTGATATGCAGGACTGGAGAGATAATTGTCCCTCTGTATTCTGCACTGGTGAGGCCACACTTCAAGTACTGTGTTCCATTTGCAGTCCCTCACTACAAGAAAGATATTGAAGCCCTGGAATGTGTCCCAAAGAAGGGTAACAAAGCTGAGAACAGTCTGGAGCACAAATCTTATGGGGAGTGGCTGAGGGAACTGGGATTGTTTAGATTGGACAAAAGGTGGCTCAGGGGAGACCTTATCACTCTCTACAACTACCTGAAGGGAGGTTGTACCAAAGCAGGGGTCAGCCTCTTCTCCCAGGTAACTAGTGACAGGACAGGAGGTAATGGCTTTAAGTTGCTCTAGGAGAGATTCCAGTTGGATATTAGGGAAAAAAGAGTGGTCATGTACTGGAACAAGCTGCCCATACCTGGAATCATTTGAGAAAAGTGTAGATGAAGCATTGGGCGTCATGGTTTAGAGAATATGATGGTGATGGGTTGACAGGTGGACTTGATCATTTTAGTGATCTTTTTTAACCTAAATAACTCTAAGCAACATCTGGTGGGCAGCTCCATTTGTAAGCAGAAGAGTCACCAGGCAAAACAATAAATTTATGATGCATAATGACTGTAGCAGGAACCTGAGATCAATCATAAACTGGTATTGAGGGGGATCTTTAAGTCAAAGGCTCTTCGATGCTAATAATTTTGAATTAGTTTAATTTAATCAAATCTCCAGTCTCCTTCATAAGATAGTTGCTAGAGCCTAAGCAGGCAAAGAGAACCACAAACTCCTTTTTATTCTACAGGCCAAAGCGCCTGGAACTCTTGCACAAGGGGAGTTATTTTATCAGCCCTAAACAGGATTAGTTTTATCCTTAAAGAGTAGCTAATTCCAGTTCATGTCACCTCCTTGCTTACACAGAACAATGTATTTAAAAAAAAAAGAAAAGAAAAAGGCTGGCTAAAAGGTGCCAATTCCAGGCTGTTATCATCACGATCAAGTACACCACTTTGGTCCTTCTGTACTCTCCCATCTCTAGCTTTGCAAAGCCACCCGTTTTCTTCCATCACATGCTATGTGTTTAAGTTCCTCACCCTGTTCACATTCCACCAAGGTGATACTTGTACTGAACCAGCCTTATGTAGACCACACTTTGTCAGTAACACCTTTAAATGACATTATAGCACAGGTGGACAATACTGCTAAACACACACATGAGAAACATTGGACGTTTTCTCTATTTACATTTTTGTTGCACTATTTCAGTTTTCACACCGCTGACCACGCTTAATCCTTCAACCCAAACCAAGAGCTCTGTCCCCTCGCTCCAGAGAGCGGCATGTTCCTTATTTGTGCTGGAAGCCAGATTTGCTTCCCCTCCTCTCTCCTGCAGCTCGGGGTGGTTCCCCAGCTCACCTCTCCGTGCTATCTCCCTGGCTGCAGCCTTGCCAATGCCGCTGTTGGACCCAGTGATCAGAAAGGATCTACCAGCCACATCCACCTCCAGATCTGCTGGGTCGAAGTGCTTGGAGGCAGATTCGTAACCACTCCTAGATAAATCAGAGACACCTGTGAGAAACTAGAAGACAGCAATTCCAAAACAAAACCAAAAAACACAGGGAGGGTTGAAAAGGCCTTTCCCTCCACAGCTCAACGCTCCTCTCTCACAGAGCTGCCTGGTCGCAGTGCCGCTGTGGAGCAAGTTCTGCGGCAACGACTCCAAACGTCCTGTGTGGGAGCCGAAGGGGCTCGGACTGCTCAGCTCGGGCTCACGTGTGATCCTCCTGCACTGAGCTCAGGGTAAAGCTGGCTGTCAAAAGACACGTAAGGGGCTGAAATTCGCCCTCTTTGGGGGGCAGACTTCAATTAACAGGGAAAATAAAGGCGCAAAGCCTTGAACTAGCGAACACCCACAAACATACACACGCACCCCAAGCACCGCCCCCGCCTCGCCGCAGCGCCGCACTCGCCCCGCGGCACAGCCCGCTCTCGGAGGCGGCGGCCCCGGTACCTCGTGTACTCCCGCAGCCCCTTCACGAACCACACGACGTTGCGGTACCACGACATGGTGCTACCGCCACCACCGTGACTCGGTCCCGCCTCTGCCTTACGTAAAGGTGCCCGGTCCAGCCCTGTCCGCCGTTGGGTGAGAGCCCGGGGCAGCCCCGCCCGGTCCGGCGCCATTACGGCTCGGGCAGAGGCGTGTGAGTGCGGATGTTGTGTGTGATGGTGTTCACTTCAGCGGTCTGATTTTATTATTATTATTATTATTTTTAGTTAACTAGCTTCCTCAACCTTTCTTCATAGGAGAGGTGCTGCAGCCCTTTGATCAAGGCTCTCCTCTGGACCCACTCCAACAGCTCCCCATGTTTCCTGACGCAGTACTGCGGATGGGGCCTCACGAGGGCAGAGTAGAGGGGACAATCACCTCCCTGTCCCTGCTGGCCACTCCTCTTCTGATGGAACGCAGGACGCCATTGGCCTTCCAGGCTGCAAGCGTACTGCTGGCTCATGTTAAATTTGTCATCAACCAAAACCCCTAAGACCTTCTCAGCAGGGCTACTCTGAAGTTCTTCTCTCAGTCTATGTATGTATTTGGGATTTCCCTGATCCATATGCAACACCTTGCTTTCTTGAACCTCATTAGTCTCACACAGGCCCACTTTTAAGCCTGTCTGGGTCCCTCTGGATGGCACCTCTTCCTTCTGTTGTTATCAGCCACACCACTCAGCTTGGTGTCATCAGTAAACTTGCTGAGGCACACTCAATCCCATCATTTATGTCATTGATACAGATACCAAAGAGTACCAGTCCCAAGACTGACCCCTGCGGCGCAGTTCAGCCTCCACCTGGACGCTGAGCTATTGAAACAATCCCTGGCTACGATCTTCCAACCAATTCCTTATCCACTGAAGTGTCCACCTTCAAACCCATCTCTCTCCAATTTAGAGAACATCATCAACTTTTAGGAACATAAATAGCCTTATTGCACCACACCAAATAGTATTTCAGGTAGCAAATGAACCTGTTAAATTCTTTGCTCCTACTAATGGGGTAATGCATACCAGTAAGAAAGAGTATGCAAGTAGCAATTACAGTAGGAGGAGTGAAGTTTAAAATGTGTTTTCAGTTCCTCTGGAATGTGTGTTAAAGCTGTTAAGCCCCAGAGAATCATCTGGAGTTGCACATCTGGACAATCTATGCTAGCTGTAAGGAAATTGTCATTGTAGGCATAATTATGTTCTTAGGCATGTTAAAGGACTAGGCACTTAAAAACATCAGTGTGCAAGTTAGATTAATTCATGCTTTTTATGTGCCTTTCAAGGCCACAGGCACACAACCTGCTTTAGGAATCCAATCTGTTTTCAGCAGCTTCAGTTGGCTGGTTTCAACAGCAGAGACAGAAGAAACTGAAATATTTTGTCTCTTCTAACCCCATTTTGTAGCCTGGTACTTCTGTTTCTAGATCTCTTCATATTGGTGAAGGGCTCGTAAACAAGTCCTCAGCTCTCAACTCAGGTTTCTCAGCTCTCGCACAAAATGTTCTTCCCACCATGAAGTTAAAACTTCAGGACTCAGCACTGTGCTTATGCTAAGTATTGTATGTGAAATAAGATTTTTCAGAGGGTAAAAAGACACATTTTCACGGGGATATCTTCTTCCCTACAGAGACCATCTAGATAAATATCATACCTTTGCACCAAATCTGAAAATGCTTGTTCTTATTAAAACAGATGGAAGAATTTATTTTAAACCAGTCAGTTTAAACCGATTTTATTTGTTTGTTCTTGGAAATGTCTAGGACGTTTTGACTGAAGTCTTTCTAAGCAATTCACCCTGATTCTGGTGCTCAAAATGGATTCTTCTGACCCAAAAAGTAACAGCTTGGCAGTGGTGTAATTGGCAACATTATTTCTGTAATGGAAAGTGAATGGCTGCCTGAACTACAGATACATATAGAGGTCACTCTGAAGGTAATGCCTCCTGTTTATTTCCATGGAAACCGCAACAGATGCAAAGAGCACAACAACACTGTTTGATAGAGCAAATTCTCAGCTACAAAACACTATTTTTCAACATAATCACCACCAATTAGCTGTACGTTTTTGCTAGTGATGAACAAGAGACTGCATGCCATCCTTATGAAAATCTGCACCAGCAGAGGTCACCCACTGTTTCACAGCTGCTGTGATGGCATCATTGCTAGGAAAATGGTGCCCAAGCAGTCCATCTTTCATCAGACCGAACAAAGAAAGTTAGAAGGTGCTAAATCTGGACTATACAGTGGATATGTTATGACAGTCTAACCTAGACTGGCAGCCTGTGGCCTTCAGACTGATATAGGGCATGGCATTATTGTGTTACAAGAGAAAGATTTTCTTCTTCTCCGGCCTGATTCTGGAAGTTCAAGCCTTCAGCTCCATCAGCTTTGTGATGTAATGGTCAGAGTTGATGGTTTGTCTGGGTTCTAAGAAATCCAGCAGGATCACCCCTTCCCTAGCCCAAAAGACAGAGCACATCGCTTTACCTGCTGAGGACTGCTTCTCAAACTTTTTCTTCAATGTGGAATTCACATTCACCAGTCCATGGGCTGCTGTTGTTACTCTGGCTCGTAGTGGTGACATCACATCTCATCACCAGTAATGATGCAATCCAGGAAACTGTCCCCTTCAGTCTTGTACTGGTTCAGTAGGACCTGACAAACTTGCATATGGGGTTCTTTCTGTTCCTGTACAAGCATCTGTGGGACATACCTGGTGCAAACTTTGTGATATTCCAACATTGCCACCACCATTTCCAACACCTTGAAGCTGATTCATAATCTTGCCTCCACTGCCATTTGTCACAAAGCAGTAATAATGGGATATTGGCAAGAAGTTTCAAGCTCTACTGCCATACCGACAGCACTGGCTCTGATGTCATGGACCATAGTCAATAGGAGGCATTACTTTTGGAGCAGTCTCCATCCTGTGTAAATGTAAATATATAATAATGAGCTGTATGGAAACAGTTTTGTGATCATCACCTACAACCTGCAGTTAGCAACCAGAACTGCACAGCAACTGCTAAAATGATGTTAGATAGTCATATTCACTGTGATCTGAACAGATGTTAGCTTTGTGCAAATCCTGCATGCTGTCTGACATAACATTCCTTCTTCTTCATTTGAATCCCTTGCCCTGATAGCCCTCCAGCTTCTGCTTTTTCCTTACAGACTGTTCAAATCTGTCTGGTTTCTCTCCATGAATGCTGGTTCTGGGAAAACACACAGCAGAGCAGAAACAGAGTTATGTGAGCACGCCTGCTGTTACAAACATCCAGTGTTGCCCCAGATATTTATGCTAGTTAGAATGTCTCACCTTGGGTGTTGTAACCCTCGGTGCTTCTCAGTATGCTGTCCTAGGATAGTAATGTTCCACGGTTGCTTACCCTGCAGAATTAGCTGCATTCTTTACAGGAAACATGATTTCAGTTTGAAAAACGTTAGCAAATCCCAAACAAAACAAAATTCCTGTGGAAGTTCCTGTGAGTGCACTAATCCGGGTTGTGCTTTATTCCCTTGTCACTCCTCTTTTTACCCTGCATATTTGTTAAGTGCATACAGCTTAACATAAAGCAAAAATGGATGATGGTTCTGATGTGTTTTGTTTGTAGTTTTGTCTACGTTCTCACAGATAAGGGGAACATGTCTGCAATCTGCAAGCGTCTCTAAAAGTAAGTGGAAGATGGAAGATTGACAAGATTGTGCCTCCCTTCCAGGCTAAACCGTTTGAACTGGAATCATCTGGGTGCTGTGTGGCGCAACATGGAGGGACTAACCAGTGTGAGTATGCATGGCAGAAGCTTCCCACTAGTCAAACACAAAATATAATAACATAGGCAGACAGTGGGAGAGCTTACAGCATTTTAAGGGTTAGGCAGAAATGGAAAATGAGAGCATATTACTTCTGTTTGTTAACATTAGGGCCTCAGAGAATGTATGTTGGTTAGGAAGGAGTTTGAATGTAGAGCTGGGAACTTATATCACATTTGTACACGCTCAATTTTACCTAAGGATATTAAATAAATACAATAGCACCAATACTGTGATCATAGAATCATAGAGTTACAGAATTATAAAATGGCTTGGGTTGAGGGACCTCAAGGATCATCAATTTCCAATCCCTCTGCCAGAGTCAGGGTTGCCAATTTCTAGACCAGGCAGTAGATCAGATTGCCCACGGCCCCATTCAGCCTGGCCTTGGACACCTCCAGGGACAGGGCATCCTCAGCTTCTCTGGGCAACCTTTACCAGGGCCTCTCTGCCCTTCCTGTGAAAAACTTCCCCCAACATCTAATCTAAATCCAGCCCTTTGAATGGTCAAAGGGTTCTCCAGACCTTTGACCACTTTCATGACCCTCCTCTGGACTTCCTCCAAAAGCTCCACATCTTTTCTGTGTTGGAGGTCCCAGTTTTGGATGCAGTACTCCAGATGGGGCCTCACAAGGGCAGAGTAGAGGGGGGCAATCACTTCCCTCATCCTGCTGGCCACCCTTTTTCTAATGGAACCCAGGACACCATTGGCCTTTCAGGCTGCAAGCGTGCACTGCTGGATCATGTTAAGTTTTTCATCAACCAACCCCTAAGACCTTCTCATCAGGGCTACTCACAATGAGTTCTTTCCCAGTTTGTATACACTACGTCAATCCAAGTGCAAAACCTTTCACTTGGCTTTGCTGAATGTCATCAGGTTAGCCACACCCTTTTATCAAATACAGTTTCCAGGAGTTTCTCTAAGTGTTGCTGTTATTTCATTTCTCCTCTTGTGATGTTTTGCCTTTGTGTTGTTCCAGAGGCAGGAGAGATGGAATAAGTGCTGCCTACTAACCCAGCCATCTCAGTGACGAGGCAATAGAGATTGTGTGCAGGAGAATGATAAGACTGTATTGCCAGGAGCTGGCTGATGCTACTGAAGTACTGAAGTACTGGCAGTACTCTCACAGGCAAAAAATCCTCCTGTGTCAAGGGTTTTTTTTTTGGCTGTGTGTTCCCTTTTGTACTGAATTCTAGGTTGATGCTCTTTGTTAGCAGATTTAGAATCCATTCTGGCATTTGGAAAATTTGGGAAGCTGCAGCT